TCTAAGGTATTAATCTCTGTTGTGCTCATTTTTTTCCTTATCTGTAAAACAGGGATAAAAATAGCATCTAATTCCCAACATTGTTGAAAGGATAAAATGAGACGATAGTCATAAAATGTTATTGCTGTTGTTATATATCTACAATGCTGCCAAGTACTGGACTGCATATTGCTCATGTAGACTATTCTTTAGGGCATGGACAGAAGCACTGATCTTGCATGTATTTCTGAAAATATAAATATCTGCCATATGGAGGGAAAACAGGAAATTTTTTTCCAACTTAATACGGGTTGAATCCAATGAATTAATTTTTAGGAGTGTATTTTATTTAAAGAGTTAATTTTATTTAATTAATAATTAATTCAACCTTTATTTTATTTATTTATGCCAACTAAGTGTTAGACATGATAGACACTGGAAAAGCTTTTTGCATCATTAAATTTATTGCCTGTACTTTAAAATTACCATTTTGCCATATCATTTACTTCTTACTAGAAATTGAGGCAAAGATATTCAATCTCTTAATCAGAAATTCTTCATGGTTAAGTTAGAATTAAGGTTAAGGTGCTGGTCACCAAACTTTATTTCATGTTTTTAAGCTCTTAGAATTTGAATTAGTGATGGAAGCACCTTAGCAGTATGTTTCTTTTATTTGATTTGGTATCTCTCAAGATAAGATTACTTATAAACGCCAAAAAAGAAAATGTCGGCAAGAGAAGGAAAGAATTGTCTGACTTCTCAGTTTGACACAATGCCATTTCCAGCTTTGTTTACAATTAAAGAATGGCCTGAGCTTGATAACAAATGGTTTCTATAAGAGTAAGGTGCCATATGGCACCAGCTCAGATTATCATGGAAGAAAGTAGGAGCTGATTCCTAGCGTGGCACAGAGATGGTAAAACTAAAGTGAAAATAGAGAATAAAGAATCTCTTGCTATTCCTCTCTTTCTCTGCTGTTCTTTTACTTCCTTTTTGTTTATTTAGGGTCTTCCTATGTTACAGTAAATTATGATAAGTCTATGACCTCATCTTGGAATTTAATAGGTGAAAGACGTTAGACTGGATCAACATTTGGGAAATTGTACATCACTTTGTGATCTCAAAATTCTCACTACTACTATATTTTTTACACCAATATTGTTTTATTTTTAAATTAAATCATTCTAAATCATTGAACATTGTGATCTCATAAGAATATTTACACTGATGAAATTATAGATTCCATTAATCTATATTTAGATTATTATTATCATTATTAATAGATTAATATTAATTCATTAATTATCATTAAATATCAATTTTATGAGTTTGTAAAAAGGAAAGCGTTGGGTGGGTTTTTTGCTGGTGGTTGGGAACTTTGTAAAATGATTGGTTCAGTAGGCTCTTGGTTGCTTACTAGTTGATCATCTTACTGATTACTACAGTTTCATGCCTGGAAATGAAGATACTTATTAGCTCACATAGTGAAGCATTTGTTTCTGCATCACTGATTTGGAAAGCAAAAGCATCGGATGTTCAGTTGTTTTGTTTCTGTGATCAGCAATTCATTGATGGGAAGAAAAAAGCAGGATTCTCATGTAAGAAAGGTCATTCAGCAATAGAGAGCTCAACGTACCTGGAACATTTTAAGTTAGTCTACTATATAAAACGATGAGAAATTGGGAAATAAAGTAAAATAAATAACACTTGGAAAAAAACTACTTTTCCCACTCATGTTTTGTAGAACACTTAAATAGAATATAGTTGGTGATTATTATCTCATTTGGAAAAAGTTTTTCTATTTTGTGTTCTTGCCCAAAAGAAACATGTTTGAAAGCAAAAGTTTGTTTGTTTGTTTCATGAACTTCCAGAAACCCTATATTGAATGAATGGATTCTAAAGCAAGAGCTAAACCAGAGGTGGGAAACCTGTGGCCTTAAGACCACATGCGGCCCTCTAGGTCCTCAAGTGTGGCCCTTTGACGAATCCAAACTCCACAGAACCAATCCTTTTATTAAGGGGGTTTGTTCTGTGGAGTTTGGCTTCAGTCAAAGGGTTTAGCTGCTAAACTTTAAAAATGTAACTTCTGTCATAAGTCATTTTTTGTTTTATTTTAATGTCTGGTCTGGTGTTGTGAGACTCAAACAAGGTAATGTACATAAAATACTTTGAAAATTTTAAAAGAATATATTAACGTGAAATATTACAACAGTGTACAGAATTTCCTAGGAGGAAACTCCTAATACCAATACCCCTATTCTTCAAGGTCCAGTCTTAGAAACTGTGTTTTCTGGGGTCACAGAGCAATGACTCGCCAGACAGGACAGGACTGAGATGGGATTTAAATCTAGGTTGCCCAGATTCCACCATCCAAAGCCCATCGTCTAGGACACTCTATCCTTAATGGTGGCGATGAAAGCCCTGTCCTGCTTGAGGGAAGGGGCAGAGATGGCAGAGGGCAAAAGCTTTAATTCTCATCCAGTCTGTGAGTTTTAAGCAAGCGCTTCTGCTTCCAGATTCCAGAGGGAGAATGGAAGAGGCCAACCTCACCTGAGGTAGCTGAAGGAAAGCACTCTGGAAAGACATGATAAAGACTGGTGGTCTATATCACTGTCCTTATCTCCAGATTGCTACTCTAGAGACATGGGGGAGTTTCCCTTGGGTGAGAGCTAGAACTGTAGGCCTTCTTTGATTTAATGAATGGATTTGTTTGCTATTCACTACGTGTGTTCAGAGCAGTTAGGTGGATAGAGCTCTCGGCCTGGAGTCAGGAGGACCTGAGTTCAAATCTGGTTTCAGACACTTTCTAGCTGTGTGAGCCAGGGTAAGTCATTTTACCCTGTTTGCCTCGGTTTCCTCATCTGTAAAATGAGCTAGAGAAGGAAATAGCAAACCACTCTAGCATCTTTGCCAAGAAAACTTCAAATAAGGTAATGAAAGGATTGGACAATTGAAATGACTCAACAACAACAAAATGTGTGGTCATTGTAGAGCTGATATTTGGTGGGAAAGGGTTCAAATTTAGATATAAAGCTTGGGGTCATTCTTCCCCCCAATAATGACACAGTGATTAGAGTTAGATTGAACCAGATCATATCCCCTAGGCTTACAATATCCAAGGGAACAGATAGATATAATTCTAGCCCAGTACCCCCCTTATCTCTGAGGAAAGATATGTCTGAGAGAAACAGAGTGATGGGCTCTGGCTCCAATCTCCTACTTCCCCTCCTGGCAGGAATTAAAGTCTTCCTTGGAGAAAAGATGGCGAGGGAAGAGGAGAAGAGGCTAGAGATATCTATTCTGCTACCGTTTGAACCACACATGATGATACCCGCATGCTATATGCTACATGAAGTGACAGGCCTCACAGCCTATAGGGCCTCACTATATATGTGAGACTCACTACACTTTATTCAAAGGAAATAAAAGTGTCATTCTCTTCCACTCATCAATGGACACAATAGCAAAATGATAACCAAATAGCCAAATTAAAACACCACCATGCAAAATTTCTGGTAGTAGACTTTCAAATCTCTGCACTATTAAATATTAGAACAAAAGTTTTCTTGATATAATTATCTGAAGGTTTGTTTTTTCTTTTCTCTCTGTGAGATGTAGTACAGTTTAATGGATAGATTGTTTGCCCTAAAGTTAGGGAGACCTGACCTTGAACCTTTCCTAAAATATTTGAGAGCTATGTGAGCACTGACAAATCACTTTTTCTGAACTTCAGTTTCTTTATTTACAAAATGGGAATATAATAATCCCTACCACATGGTGTTGTGAAACTCAAACAAGGTAATGTACATAAAATACTTTGAAAATTTTAAAAGAATGTATTAACGTGAAATATTACTATTACCATTGTTGTTATTGTTTCAATTATATCAGTGGGTACTTGATACCACGGCAGTTTTATTTAAAGCAAAACAATTTTTTATAGAGTCAAAAAATAAATGCATTCTACTGAGTTCTCAGAACATTTAAACCAACAGTCTTATTTAGTAAAATTCCCTTCTATTTCTCCAGTCTCCCAACAAGACTTCTTCAGGAAGTAGTTGGTTTTTTACCACTAACTTCTTGGGCATGTTGCAGAGAGATATGGATTGAACTGGGTTAAGGTTCTCAAAGTGTGGTCTGGGACCACCAGTGGTCCCTGAGACTCATCCTGGGGGATCTAAAGAGTCAAAATCATTTTCATAATTATATCAAGATAGTTTAATTTCTAATATGGCAATTGTTGATAGATATAACCCATTTAAACAAAAGCCCTCAGGGTGTTTCCTCAATAATCGTTAAGAGTGAAGATGAACACTCACATCTTCATTGATTCTGGGGTTCCATGATTCTTCAATGTTTTTAATCACCCAAGTTAGACTATAACTTGTAATCTTTCTAATCCTGCCTTCCATAATCACATAAGGATGTAGATTCAGGGCTGGAAAGGACCTTAAAGTTCATGTAATCTTATGCTTTCACTTATAGATTAGGAAACTGAATCCCAGAAAGATAAACTTGACCAACGTCACAGAAGCAATATTGGACTTTGAGCCCAAAACAAGTACTTTCCCCACTAAAAGCTCCCCATTTTAGAAATCTTCAGCAGATATATTGAGAGATGTCATTCCAAATAGGTATCAGAGTTTGAGTTTTGTTCTTTGTTTTTTTGGTGGTACTTAAGACTAACATATTACAAAAATATTTGAATTCTCATTTATGTCTCAAAGGGGCCTTATTTTGCCCTTATAACGTCACCTATTTCCTTAATCAGACTTTTTTTTGCAACATAAATATTGAAACATCAGAACTCGAGGGTTATTGGCAATAGCTTTCCTCCTGTATGGCTGCAAAATTAACTAGTAAATTCCTATTTGGAGGGGAGACAAGCTTTCTTCAGCAAAATGAATTTTCTCCCCTCCAATGAGTTTCTTGGTTTTGATTTTGATTTTTGTTTGTTTCTTTCTTTGCTGTAGCAAGGAGAAGACATAGTAAAACTACAAGATGAAACTCATCCAACTTACCAAACGATTCCCTGAGCCCCAGAACCAATAGGCTTTAGATTCTGGTAGCGTTTGAGGACTGTGAACGTTGAATCTCCCACTTCAACACTGCAGAACTGGTTGTCTACTTTGCTTTTGCTCATGTTGTAATGTTTGGCAATATATGACACATCCACTTGTTTATCAAATCCCTGTCAGGAAGAATGAAAAAAATAAGTGAGAAGAGTAAACCAGTAGCATGATAATGAAATGTAGGGAAGTCTGCTATTTATGCAAATCCTAAGAGTTGCTAGTCTCCTAGATTTATATATTATCGGTGTTCATGTCTTTACTAAAAATAGGCAAATCAGACTGGGATCAGCCAGAAATGTAAAGATGACCTAAAATACTGTTGCTGTTATTGACCTAAAATAACTTTCTAAAGGAAGTTTCTTTCACATGGAAAGTACTGAAAATGGGTTGAGTTCAATTATTCAGAGGATGTCCAGCTTCGACGAGGAGAAAAACCTAGGGCCTAGAAGTCAAAACCTAGGTTCTGGGCCTGACTCTGACACAGGATGACAAATCAGTCTTCCTAAGCCTTAGCTTCCTCATTTAGAAGGGTTATATTAGATGACAGCTGATATTTTAGTGATTTAAAATTAATGAAGTGGGTCACAAGATCAGGAAAATGTATGTAGAGATGTTTTCCATGACTCTATATCATCTCAAAGCTGGGATAAGGAATTGTACGTAATAGCTGAGGTTGAAACCACAGGATAAGAAGAGAGAAATACCACATGAGGTAAAAACCCCATGAAATAACATCAGAGAAATAGACTCAGTGTTCCTATTCAGAGTTCCCACACCTAGCTCTAGAAGAGAAAATGACAGATGTGGAACACATACACACACACAAAAACACAAGTCAAAGAAAATTTGGCAAGAGAAATGTGAAAAGCAATAACTTTTTTTTGTAAATAGTATTTTATTTTTTCCAAATACATGTAATTTCAACATTCATTTTTTATAAGATTTTGAGTTTCAAATTTGTTCTCCCTCCCTTCCTCCCATCCTGCATCCCCAAGATGTCAAGCAATCTAATATAGGTTCTACACATGCAATCATGGTAAACATATTTTCACATTAGTCACGTTGTGAAAGAAAAATCAAAACAAAATGGGAAAAGCCACAAAAGAAAAAAAAAGTGAAAACAGTATGCTTCGATCTGCATTCAGACTCCACAGTTCTTTCTGTGGATGTGGATAGCATTTTTCTTTTTTCTTTTTTTTTTTCTGCTTTTTAGTGAAGCAATCAGGGTTAAGTGACTTGCCTAGGGTCACACAGCTAGTAAGTGTCATGTTTCTGAGGCTGGATTTGAACTCATGGAAGATATTCATAGTGAAAGTAAATAGGGCCTACAGATGAACTAAAAGAGTCCAAACATCTATGAATAAATGCCGCAAGACAAAGGAAAATGAGTTAATGACTGATGAGGCAGAAGAACCTGTAGATTCCCAAGAGAACACAGAACAATAGCAAGATGGTCCTGGATGATTTAAAAGAGAACTAAGAATTTATGGCTTGCACAGCAGAGGTAATTGGCAGAAGAGAAGAACTTCTAAGTCACGCCACCAAGTATCCAGGAATCAATCTACCAAAGCACACAAATTACTTGTATAGATTCAATTACAGAATGCTCCTGCTCAGTGCAATGGAGAACAACTTAAAATGCTGGAGGAATATTCAGGGCTCAGGGAGGAGCTATTCCCATATATAAAAACGACATTATTACCATAGTTAATTTTACATTTTAGTGCTACACAATAAAACAATCAAACGAATATTTCAGAGAACTAGATCAAATAATAACAAAATTCAATTGGGAAAAACAAAAGATGTAGAATATCAAGGGAAATGACACAAACACGAAAGTATGAAGAGGCAATAGCACTTCTAGACCTGAAACTAGCAATCATTAAAACCATAATTTACCAATTTAAAAATGGAGAGGTAGATTAATGGAGCAGACTAGATAAGGAAGAATCAGAAACAGTAGAACTCAATAACCCAATATTCAATAAACTACATACACACATTATACACATATCTGTATATATGTGTATACATACACATGCATACATACATGTATATGTGTACACACACATATATAGTCAGGGGCACCTTTAGGGAAAGAATTCCCTATTTGATAAAAACAGAAAACCTGTAAGGAAATCTGGCAGAAATTAGGCTTTGACCAATATTGTATACCATATTTTATGCCTATATAATAAAATAATAAATAATAATAATTAAAAAATCAAAAATAATAAAAATGGAATAGGCCTGTTGGCATTTCCATAGTGATCTCTGCTCATTGGTGATGAAAGTGAAGCCACCCCATTTGGATTCTACTGCACTGTAGAACTGCACTATGTGAGAAAGCAGCAATATCACCTCAAAGATGAAATTAGGAAGCATAGAATGCCAGTAACAAATACACCCAGAAGAAATCTATGCTAGAGTTGACACAATTTTAAAACCATTCACTTCTCAAGATATCTCAAAGAGATGGAAATCCCAAACAAAAGGAAGCCAATAGAAACCAATGATCTGATACTACAAGACCTAAAGCCTCCTCAAGAGATAAAAGTGATCAAAAGATATGAAGGAATCTTCTCAAAAGAAGAATGAAAAACTATCAATAATAATATGATAGAAATACCCCAAATACCCCAAATCAATAACAATTAGAGAAATACATATCAAAACAACTTTGAGGTTTCACTTCACACCCAGCAAATTAGCAAATTAGCAAAAATAACAAAATACCAAGAATAGCCAATGTTGTAGGGCAGGGCCTAGGCACAGAAAGATGGGAACATAATGCATTGTTTATGTAAAACAATTTGGAATTATAAAAATGAAGTGGATAAAATGGCCATGTTCTTTGTTGTAGGGGCCTTGCTACTCGTCATATACCCCTTACTAACAAAAAGAATGTCTCCATACACAACAAATTCTTTTAGCATCATTTTTTGGCATAGCAAAGAACTGGAAGCAAAGTCAATGCCCATCAATTAGAAAACAGCTAAACAAAATTATGATACACAGATGTAATAAAATATTACTGTACATAGAAAAACTTACACGAACAATAAGTATATAACTAAGTGACATAAACAGAGCCAAGAAAATAACAAAAATGACTACAACAATATAAATGGAAAAAATAATCACAAAACAATAAAAATAAAAGTTGCAAAATTCAAAAGAACTACATTGTTCCCAAGATCAGATATGATGACACTTATTTTCTACTCTGATTTTTTTGCAGACAGGGGAGTCCTCAAGTGTGTACCATTGCATTCATGTCAGATTTTTTTCCCAATGTATTGATTTGTTTTGCTAAATTTTCCTCTTAATTCTCTTTTTACTTTTTTTTTTGGGGGGTGAGGCAATAGGGGTTAAGTGAGCTGCCCAGGGTCACACAGCTAACGAGTGTTATGTGTCTGAGGTCACATTTGAACTCAGGTCGTCCTGACTCCAGGGCCAGTGCTCTATCCACTGCGCCGCCTAGCTACTCGTTACTTTTTTAAAAGATTTTTTTTGTCTTAATATGGTTTTTGAAAGGAGAGAGAGGTGAGGCTGAAAGATACAGGGAAAAATATAGGTAATGTAGAAACAGAAGATATCAACAGCAATTAAAAAGAAAAATAAACCACTAATCCACTTGCCCATAGCTGTTAAATCTTTTCTAGACTACTCTGTACTTGTAACGAGGGTCCAATGAAATGGAATACATATATGATTTTCTAAAGTAGAGTATATTTTCACAGCAACACAACTAAGAGAAGTATAAAAAATTCAAAAACCTACCAAGCCTATTATTCACTGATTTCTAAAGTTCATTTAAATTGGTACAATAAATCCTGGCCTTAAAGGCTCTCCTTAAACAAGGCATGTGTAACGCACACCCATTCTAAAACTTAGACAGCTTTCAGACATCTTTATTCAGTGCTCTGCTATCAACAAATGAGCAATGAACAGAGAGATATTTTCATCTAATTTCTTCACCAAATGCCATAAAGGCTATTCCACACAAATCTCCAGTAGAAGAATTGATAACAAGGTTCTCTAAATGCTTCCATTGTTGAATAGCATTATACTAATCCAACCCTCTAACGTTAGAGAGCCTTCACAATGAATTCCATGGTCATTTGAAAGACATCTATCTAACCATATATACTAGGGAAAAGTGGATCAAAATGCATAATGCTAGGATTATGGCACGCAGTTGAATAGGCATCATTTTGAGTTAGTCCATCAATATACAGGTTCATAAAAATATTTAGAAATAAGTATCTTTTATAGGCATACAAGGTAGACAATGAATGAGCTGGGCATAGAATTGTTCCGAAGGAACAATCTGGGAAATTGGGCGGCATTTGAAAAATCCTAAGCAGATTAAGGCCATACAGGTCCATCTATTTTTTAGACTTTTTTCAATTAACAAGTATTTTTTTTAAAAATCTCTAAACCATCCCATAGAATTAGAAAAGAAAATGAAAAATAAAACTCTCATAACAAATATTTCAGTCAAGAAAAATGAATTTTTTCCATGTCCAAGTATATATGTCCCATTCTGAATTCCTCATCTTCAATTCTCCAGAATCATGGATCTTAAATCATTCAAAATTATTCATTTTTACAATTTGGTGTTATGGTAGACACAGTTCTGATTCTTCTCACTTCACTCTACATCTGTTCATACAAATGTTTCTAAAACCATCTCCTCCGTTATTTCTTACAGCATAATAGAATTCAATTCATTCATATGCCATAATTTGTTCAACTGTTCTCCAATGGATGGACACTATCTTAGTTACCAATTCTTTGCCATTACAAATTTTTTTACATATAGTTAGGTTCTTCTCTTTACTCATTGAGATTTTTGGGATATAGGCCTTGTAGAGGAGTTGCCCATTCAAAGAGTATTTGTGGAATTTAGTAACTTCTTTGGGAGAAAGGGAAAGAATATCTGGGAAGTTAAGGGCTACTTCATCTTTGTGGCTTATCCTTGTTGGGTTAGAACAAAGTAAACTTCCTTTTGTTAAATGCTCAATGGCTTACAAGTGCCTTGCTCCATGACATCACTGAACTTGATTGAACTAAGAGTGTGCTGGTAAAAGTGAAATAACAAAACTCAGAA